GTTCTTCCTCCTCAGCGAAACTTCTTTGGAAATGCCTGGGCTCAGAGATGTGCCTCCTAGGTGATTCCAAATCCTATCCACTTGAAAACCAAGATTAACCAGAGACCAGAGATATAAGGTTTTTATGTACTCAAGACAGAACCTTGGTGCTTTGGTTTCCATCTACCAGTGGTCCTGGAACCTTGTAGCAATTGCAATTTTTGGCTTCCAGGATCTGCGAGTGGCAATAACAGTTGGCAGCGGACAGTTCTTGATTAATGTTCATGTAACAGTTCCTGAACCCTTGGGTCCTGCAACAGTTAGTGTCAAAGCTGTTGAGCCTAAGGTGTCTGGGACTCTTGATTCTTGGCCTTAACAGCTCCTTGTAATTCTAGGAATTGAACTCAAGTCCTCTGCAGGAGTATCAGGTGCCTTTTAACTGCTAAGCGATCTCTCCAACCCCTAGAGAAACCCTTCTTGATGGTATGCAATGTTTGTACTACCGAGTATCTCCCAGCCAATTGAAAAGTCCAACAATCTAATTATGTAGCCAGAAAGATGTATGTGTCAATCAAGGCTCAACCCTTCACATAAATGAAGGACCATGTTTTGTAGAACTTTAAGACAATTCTGAAGCCATTTCTGACAATTCTGAGCCCTCTCAGTCTCAGCAGTAATACTCCCACTTCCCCCCTGGGAACCAAGGACCTAACAGCTATACATGCACGTATGTTCTCCAGAAATTGAGGCAAGATAACCTTTAAGATGTTGACTCATTTCCTGAACAATTACCCACACACGTATGTTTTGACTCAGTCCCTGGGAAACGGAGAACACCCCCCAGACACCCCCCTGCTTCTGTGGCTTTTTCCTTTAAAAGTAGCCTGTACCAACTATTCGGGGTCTCTTGGCTTCCTGAATGCTGAGGGACCCTGTCATGACAGAATTAATAAAATCCTCATGCTTTTACATCAGCTGTGGTGTGAGAGATGGTCTCTTGGGGAGACTCCTCCTCGGTGATTGGACCCTAGGATCCAACAGTTTACACCAGTCACAGGAATGGTGCTCCCCCTCTGGCCCAAATGAAATCAGTCACTCTAATTCATCTAGCCTTTCGTTCTCCCAAACCTCAAGCATAGACAGAAACAGACATGGCTGGGATAGTACCTTCCAAAGTCAGTGTTTTGCTTTGACATTAAGTAGCGGTGGTTGTTAGAGCCCACACCAGTCTCTGCCCAGGTTATGCCCACCTGCAGCGGTCTCTCTCCCTCATAGTGGATTCCCTTTAAAGGCTCCAGGCTAATAAACAGGAGCTATTGGTGACACAGCCTGTACCATGGATCCACATTAACTAAATGGGCTCATCCTCTGCCAGTCCCCTTCCTCAGTCACCGCCACACACATCCTTCCTCACATGACCCATTCATCGTCCAGCAGCCCTTGCTTCTGAGGGCTCAGAGACCTGATTACCAGGGTACTATGGACCGCTCATCAATCACATTACATAGGCCCTTTCCCTCCTGAGACCTCTGAGAAAGGACTCAGACTGGGCCACACGGGCTTGGACACCCCTCAGAGTGCCCATCATGCTGCTGTGTGTCTATGCAATGGTTTAGGTTGCTAGGCTGACAGCCTTTTGCTTTGGTCACCAGGAAAGAGACCACAGCCTTTCAATTACGTGAGAAACAAGACCCTCACTTTGTAATTGCAAATTCAAGAGATGAGGGAAAGTTAAAGTTTTATTTTACAATTCTGTAGACATGGATGTCGGCCTACTACAAGTACTGGCGTGCCAGTTTGGCACAAAACAGTGGTTTTTCTTTTCTTTTTTTTTTTTTTTTGGTTTTGATTTTTCAAGAAATAGTAATTTTTTTTGAAGGTCCTAATTGCAAAAGACAGCCTGCCCTCTTCCCATAGGCTGGTATTCCAGAGAGCCACATGACCTTTGCTCTCACCTAGCAAAGCACCCTCGCCAACCTCCCCATCCTATTGGCTCAGAACATACAGCCTTATCTATCCTATATCCTGGGTCTTGGGATTCTCTTCGTTTCTGAGCATCATCGGCTCAGTCACGTGGCAGAGAGCCTGTAACTTTTCAACCCTAGGATAAACTGGAGTGCTTAGACAAGCAGGCACCCCCTGGCAGCTAAGGGAAGACAGGACTGTGGCTGGGGAACCCACGGTGATGGTAGGGGTTGGGCTAGCGCCTTCGGCTTATCTTTAATTGTGCGCTAAACCACCTCATACTGAAAATGAAACATTATTATCTACTTAATAATAAAGTTTATTTTAATATTTAATAATGAGTTAATATTTAAACTTGCTATTTAATAATAGAAAACTATTTAATATTTAATAACAGCTTATTTTGTCTCATGGTTCCAGGGAGTCAAAGTTCACAGTGATGTAGAAGGCGTGACAACACACAAGATGATTTATTTCTTGCAAAATAAAGGATCAAGCGGTCCCGGCCTCCACAAGCATAGGTTAAAGGGAAAAAAAAATAAACATTACGATGAGTTTTTACAATAAAGGTCTATCATTAACATTAACAACACGTTAAGAAGAATTCAGCCGTGGTTAACCAAACACCCCGGGCGAGGTGGGCCATTTTTATCATCTCTGGAAAAAGGGGCTCACTGGTTACTTTAGCCTAAGGGTGGCTCCGGAAGAGCAGCGGCAGCAAAGGTGGCCTAGGGACAGCCGTGGGCCCGTGACCACAGGCACAGCCGCGCGTGCGAGCCGGGAGAGCCGAGCGAGGGAGGCGGCGGCGCAGCCGGGCGGCCGGAAGACCTGTGCAGAGCATCCGGGTGAGAGGCGGGAGGTCGGAGTGGCGTCCCGGAGCGCCGCCTCACCTCGATTAAGTGAGCCCCTT